AACGGGACTGCAAGCCTCGGTGTTGCTCCCGCGCCTCGCTCAGCCAGTGAGCGGGAACCGGTCTGTATGTGGGATCCGAACCCTCGGGACGGGAGCGCCGCCGCGCTTCCCAAGCGGCGCACCATCCAGTGCGCCACCGGGCCGGCCCTAAACTTGGACATTTTTGTGAAAAATAATACAGGCTTTTGTCTTGATACTACTACTAAATAATCAGTTACTGAGAACGTAACTGCAGATGCTCAGGTCCTAACCATGAGAGAGTGAAGAGGAGTGAGAAATGCATGAGCCGGGTGGAGCACGGCTGTTTTGTGCAGACAAGCAGAACCCAGCTGGGTAAAGATGATGCTATCGAAAAGCCATCAGTTGAGTTATACTGAAGTGATTTTCTTTATCTTATATCTTCATAAGAAATTTGTGATTTTTAAAAAATGCTGTAGCAGAAAAAATAGCCCAATGAGTTATCAGATGATTTATGGGACAAAATATTTTTCAAGTTTTCTCATGTTTCTATCAGTTTTAACTTCTTGGCTGACCCCCACCTTACCAGCACGGCTGAGTTAATAAGGCTCAAGTCTACTTTTTCAGCCTTTTTCTTCCAGCAGTCCACTCCATGAATTGCATACATCTTTTAGATCCCTGAAAAAGCTGTACTCTTTCTAAACTCTCTGCCTGACATGCCCTTCTCCATCTGACAAATTTCAACTTATCTTTTAAGATCCAGTTCAGACATCACCACATCCCCAAGGCAAAAAGAGTTACTTACTCTTATAAGCACCTACAATTGTCCTGTTCTCCCTCTATTATAGCATGTGGTTTTACTGTAATTTACTTTGCCCTACATATCTACTACCCTTACCCGTCAGTGAAATACTCAAGGGCAAGAGCCATGATTTTATTCCTAAAACCAACAGAGTGGGGGTTCAATATATGTATATGAATAAAGTAGTAATGAATACTCTGTGAGTTTTATAGAATGCTAGAGATGGAAATCTGGTCTTAAGTTCTAAGGCACTCAGTGGTCCCAGGGGAGAGGAAGATGAGGGGAGAACATTTACCAAGACTATTAGAGAGGATTTTAAAATTATCCCTTCCCAGGGCCGGCCCGGTGGCGCGGGAGCAACACCGAGGGTTGCGATCCCGTTGCCGGTCCCGGTCTGGTGCGGGGGTGACACTGAGGGTTGCGATCCGTTGCCGGACATGGAAAAAGACAAAAAAAAAAAAAAAAAAATTATCCCTTCCCAGATTGCCTATGCAAATGCAAGCCATCTTTTTAGTCAACACTTAAATGTCAGAACACTTTTCTAAATTCCCAATGTATTATAACTTTATTTGAATCTATAATAAAATACTCTTAGAATGATATATGCTTTCTGAAGTATTTTTATAAACCCCTTATAAAGTTACTCAACTCTCCTTACAATGCAAGCAATCCTACCTTAAAATTCAAAGTGGATTTTATGTGATAATTTCCTGATATTTTGTTTTAACAATGTACTGTTAAAAAGGCATTCATAAGTATACAGAGTTCATGGTATAAATTCAGTTTCATTTTTGACTAGTTCTGCCCTTGGATCGTGTGTCTAACCTACAATACAGTACCATTTCCTCTCGTACTGTTAAAAAGGCATTCATAAGTATACAGAGTTCATGGTATAAATTCAGTTTGATTTTTGACTAGTTCTGCCCTTGGATCGTGTGTCTAACCTACAATACAGTACCATTTCCTCTTTTCTGGAAGACAAGCAGTGTGCGCACCCCATCAGGCACCCAGGAGAAAGCCTAATCTGGCAAGGGCAGGAACATGGCAGAACTCTACAGGATCAGGATGTTTTGAGTTAAGGGATGGGATTTATGGGAAAACTGAGTTGATATGTGTTTATGTTTTTCTAATCTGAATCTTTAAAAAGAACTAAGAAACTCAAAATCAATATCAGATGTTGTGTGATGACTTCAACATGACAAATAACATCTTAAAACAAAATATTTAGAAATTTAGTTCCTTCTTTGCTCACCTGCTGCTGCTATGTTTCAAGGGGTCAGGATTTCCACTGTGACAGTTCCTAGCAACCAAAAACAACATGGAGGAAAATGCTTTGGTCTTACTAGTGTCCTCAGAAATAATGAAGAAACAGCAAACTCCTGATGTTAACTGGTAAGTAGAGGAGAAATGCATGTTTTAGTATCAGAATCATTTCAACTTTCCTTTGTTAGGAAATAGCGAGTTTGGAATATTAGTTCACTGATTTAAAATCAAAACAAAACTCATGCTCTTTTTTATGAAAGAATATTTTTTTTCCCTAGTAAACAAGTCACATTTTACTGGCCTCACCTTAAGGAGACTTCCTCTAGATACTACAGGTGCTCAATATATAATTATTAAATGAATGAGTAAATGAAAGAGTTGCATCATCACTTTCCTTTTTATTCACATAGAAAAGTAAAAGACTGAAAGCCTTTTCTTTTTCTTTCTCTTCAAAGTCTTTTACCAAAGTAAAGGCACGTGCCATTAAATCTGTAATCTTGGTGTTCACTTATCAAGTCTAATACAGGATTACGGAACACAGGATCCCAAGCTTCTCTAACACACACACTAGTAATTTGTTCAGTTTTAAATAAGGAGATCTGAACTATTTCAAAGTTACTAAAACATTCTGATGACAAGGCAGGAATAGAAAGGTACAGGTTCCTCGGGGGCCATACAAACCATAAGGATGGACCTGAATGTGACATTTCTGAACTTGGGCTAGATTCCAAAGCTACAAGCAGCAGAATGATGTGTGCTAGATCTAACAGCTCACCCCTGTCATCTAGCACTACCCAAACAAAATACTGCTACTTCTACTCCTTATCCTAAGGAAAGCCAATATATAATTTAAGGCCTCTAAAAAAGGTACCATCTACTTTATAAGGTCCTGTTTCTAAACTGCAGAATGCTGTGGCCTTAGTTTAATGATTATATTTAATTTCACCCAGGCACTCATTAGGGGTTAATAGCAGTTTAATTCAATTAAAATAAACTTTCAGTGATCACACACTAGATACCAGATCCTTCATTCATTCATTCATTCATCCATCCATCCATTCAAATATTTATTGAGCACTACCCATATATGCCAAACACTGTTTTTAGTAGTGGAGACACAGTAGTAATAAAACAAAGTCCTTGCCATTCACAGCTAATTCACTGGCCCATTTTACTTAGACCTCATTTTTAAATCTTTTGTGAACTTAAGCCCCCAAGAGCTTCCCTCCATTTATCAGGTAACCTTAGTTCTTGCCTGAGTTCAATATGTAGTACCATCTTTTCTATTTTGTACCTCCAAATATTTCCATGTAGATATGGTAACCTTAGTTCTTGCCTGACTGAGTTCAATATGTAGTACCATCTTTTCTATTTTGTACCTCCAAATATTTCCATGTAGATAACCATCCTCTCTCCTTTTTTGTTTCAGAGAAAGATATTCCTCTAAGATTAACCCTTTCCCACAGGGCTACTGATTCTGTGCTTTCCTGTGTTCTTCAGAATATTTCTCCACCACTTTTTTTTTTCTATCTTTAATCTTTATCTCTTTACCAAGTCCTTCAAATCTTTCCTGCTATGGAGAAACATAAAAAGGTCTACCCCTATCTTGGGTTATTTCTTCCTCTCCTACTCTTCCCAAATATTCCTAGGAGAACCCTATACCTGCCCCCACCACTTTAGCTCCCCATAATCTACCCCCTGCCTTAACTTCATCACAATCTGATTTCCTACCCACAGAATTACTGAAGCTTTTCTAAAACCAAAAATGACTGCTAATCCTTCAATCCGATCAACAAAACCTTTTCTGTTTTGTTGCTCTTCAACCATCTCTTTGAATCTACCAACTGATGCTCTTTATTTTTATCATTTAAAACACCTTTCATTTTCATGAAGCTATGCTGCATTGTTTGTATTTTAGGCTCTCTGATTTCTCCAATTTTGTCTTTTTTGTTTTTTGGATTTTTTATTTTCCCTCACATTTAGCACCTAAATAGGCCCTAAAGCAGCAGTTTTCAACTTTTTGTTTGCTGTGACAGATAATGTTCACTGAAAAGAGAGCCTCCTTTCTTTACCTGTTCTTGTCCCCCATTGGGTCAAAGAATTGCTCATAAAATTGATCAGCTTCGAGCACTGTGATTGGGCCTTGTTTTCTGCCAGAGGAGTCCTGCCCTTCCTGTCATCCCTGTCGGCCTGCCCTAGGCCTGGCTCCCTTCACCGTCTCCTCACTCAGGAGCTCGAGCTCGTGTCTTCCTCCCTCTATCTCAGGCAGCTAGTAATTCACATCACAACATTTGAGTCTAGGCTGAGATAAAGTCTTGGGCATAGTCGAGTTTACCAGAGCTATACATTAGAGTATCGGGTCCAAGCCGAGTTGATATTAAAATAGTATTTTAATCATCATATGCCTCTGTCCCCATACATATATCTCCTTTGGGACCTCCTGGAGAAGGAAACTTGGGGTTTGAAGAATTTGTGCACTCCTGGAACTCCAGGCCATAACGTCATCTCTTTTCTGCTCTTCACTTTATTAGATTAAAAAAATGTCAAATAGGGGCCGGCCTGGTGGCGCACTGCTACAGTGCGCCGCTTGGGAAGCGCGGCGGCGCTCCCGCTAAGGGTTTGGATCCCACATGCAGACCGGTTCCCGCTCACTGGCTGAGCGAGGTGTGGGAGCGACGCCGAGGGTTGCGATCCCGTTGCTGGTCCCGGTCTGGTACAGGCGCGACACTGAGGGTTGCGGTCCGTTGCCAGACATGAAAAAAAAAAAAAGACAAAAAAAAAAAATGTCAAATCATACCTGTTTCTTGTAACAAGTCAAATAATATTGAGTTATGCAAAGGAAAAAGTAAAAGTTACTTCTTTTCTTTTTCATATTACGTGCAACTAAAACCATCAACATTAAGACTCAGGAGGGTATGCATCCATATCCTTATCAAAAAATATGAAAAAATTTATATGTAGGATAAATTTTTAAACAAAATTGGGATCATATATTACTCTACCCTTAACTTTTATATCCACTTTACAACACCAGTGACATCTTTCCAAGTCAATATATGTAGATGTAACAAATTATTTTTAATTACTGAATATTCATAATATTAGGATGCTTTCCCCCTCGTAACTAAAATCTTACAATAACCTTTTTAATGGTCTCCTTGCCTCCATTCTCTTCCTTTTGAGAATCATAGGACAAAGAAATATTAAAAATCACTGTCTAATAGCAACACATTTCTGGTGGGAAAAAAAGATGCTTCAAGAGATTAACCAACTTGCCCAAGAACACTAAATTACTGGGAGAGATATTCATTCATTCATTCATTCATTCATTCAACAAATATTTGTTGAACATTTACTATGTGGCTCTGGTATTGTAGAGCTTAAATTCCAGAAGGAGACATGCAAAAACCAAGAAAACAAATAAGCATGATGAATACAGTACGTGATTGGTGTCATGAAGGAAAAATAGGGTGAAATCGAGTAACAGATAAGAACCTACTTTGGATAGAATGCACACGAAAAGTAACTTGGAGTACATGACATTTGAACTTTTACCTGAAGAATAAGAGAGAGAGAACAAGTTGTAAAAAGAGGCAAGGTAAAAATATTCTAGGGGGAAAAAAAACAAAAAAAGAAAAACAGCAAGAACAGAGAAGAGACCAGTGTTCCTGGTGTGCAGGTGACATTTGAACTTTTACCTGAAGAATAAGAGAGAGAGAACAAGTTGTAAAAAGAGGCAAGGTAAAAATATTCTAGGGGGAAAAAAAAACAAAAAAAGAAAAACAGCAAGAACAGAGAAGAGACCAGTGTTCCTGGTGTGCAGTGATTAAGGGAAAAGAGTGGCAGGAAATGAGGTTGGAAAAGCAGACAGGGAGTAGATCACATAAGGCCTTATAGGCTATGGCAAGGAGCTTGGACTGGGAATTGATTCAAGAATTTTAAGGAGTGATATAATCAGATTTACATTTTACAAGGATTACTCTGCCTCTATATCAAGAAAGAATAGAAGGCAGTCAAGAATGGAAGCAGGGAAATCATTGCAGGAGCAGAGGTAAGCAATGACAGTGGTTTTGATTAAGTATTGGCAAGCAAACAGATGTGGACAGATTTGATAAATATTTTGAAGAGAATTTCAATAAGACTTGCTGATGGAATGGGTGTAGGGCTGAGGAAAAGGGTGGTTCCAAGTGTAGTAATTGGTAAAACTGGTACCTGGGGTCATTTTCTGTGATGGGAAAATCATATCAAAAGTTCTGTTTTAGACAATTTAACTTGAAAGACTTGCTTACTAGTCTTCTGTAGAATGCTAATTAGGTAGATGAAAACAAATGAGATGCATAGGGGAGAGCTGGAGCTGTAACCTTAGAAATCATCAGCATATTCATGGTATTTAGAGCCATGAAACTGGATGAGCTCAGTGAGTAAACAGTGTGTAGGAGAATTCAGGAAGTAGCTTAGGGGTCCTCCAACACACAGAGGTCGTGGGAAGGGGAGGTGGGGAAGGAGCCAGGATATGTGACTGATAAGGTGCAGCCAGAGGGGTAGAAGTGAAATCAGGAGCATGTGGTGTCCTGGAAACCAACACAAAAAAAGTGTTTTAGGTAGGAGGATGGGGTCAACTGTGTCAAATGCTAATAACTGATTAAGTAATATGAATACTAAATATTGACCACTGGATTTGACAACGTAAAGGTTATTGAAGACTTTGACAAGACAGGTAGGTAGTAAATAGGTAGAAGGAGAGAGATAGGAATAGAAAACAGTTTGTTGAGGTGTCTGTTCAAATCTTTTGCCCATTTTTCAATCAGGATGTTCATTTTCTCACTGTTGAATTTTAATAGTTCTTTGTATAATTTGGGTAACAGTCCTTTACCAGATGTGTCTTTTGAAACTATTTTCTCCCAATCTGTGGCTTATCTTCTCATTCTCTTGACACTGTCTTTTGCAGAGCAGAAGTTTATAATTTTAATGAAGTCCAGCTTAACAATTATTTCACTCATGGATCGTGCCTTTGGTGCTGTATCTAAAATGTCATTGCCGTATCATGGTCACCTAGATTTTCTCCTA